CACTTAGCTGATGGGGTGAGGAAAGGGCCTCTTGCCACACTACAGAACAGTTTAGCAATGTGTACAAACAGCTTAAATATTCTGTGTGTGTGCATGCATGTGAGAATCAAACCTAAGGAGAACCCATAATTGTAATCCGAGGGTATAATTTTAGGGTAATTGAAAACATGCAGTTACATTAATGATGAAAGCAATGCCTAAAAGAACAAAGATGGTTAATATATTCAATGTGTTAATTATAATAGAATGATTATTACCATGTATTCTCATGTATTCTATCACCATGAGAGAAAGAAAGGAAGGAAGGAAAAAAGGAAGGATGGAAGGAAGGACATGCTTAGTGGTACAAACCTATATAATCCTAGTACTCACCAGGGCTGAGAGAGTAAGACAAGGAGAGTTCAAAGCTAGTCTGGGCTACATTATAAGTGAGGCTCTGTCTTATAAAGCAAAAATGGAGGTTGGAAGATGGCTCCGCAGTTAAAAAGTTTACTTTTCTCACAGAAGACTCAAGTGTGTTTCCCAGAACCCCTGTCAAGCAGCTTACAATTGCCTGTAACTCCAGCTCCCAGGAATCTCATGTTCTCTTCTGATATTCACAGGCATTATGCACACATGTATACACACACACACACACACACACAGAGGTAAAATCTTTAAAAAAGAATCAGCAGCGGGTCAGGTCATGAAGAAAATTTCAGAATCTCAAAGGTAGATGATATGGCTCCTGATTCATTCTTTAACAACACAGCAACAGAATTTAAAATGAAAAAAGGCAGAAAGAACAATTTTTAAAAATCAACCTTCCAAAAATATAAGGAATAAAAACTGCAGAATACCTAAATTAAAAATAAGACAGCATTGCCAGGCATGCTGGCTCACACTATTAATCCTGGCACTTGGGAGGCAGAGGGAGGCCAGCCTGGTCTACAGAGGGAGTCCCAGGACAGCCAGGGCTACACAGAGAAACCCCATCTTGGAAAAACGAAGGGAGAAAAAAAAACACAGAGCACATTACAATTAAAAGCAGATAATATACAGAGGCAAATTTCATTTGCTTTTGGTATTTCAAAAAAAGACCAAAATAAAAAAAGTCTGGTGTGGCTCAGTGGTTAAACCAGACAAACTAAGTTCCATCCCTGGGGCCTACCAGGGTGGAAAGAAAGAAAATGGCTCCTATAAATTGTCCTTTGACCTATTTGTGCACACACAACAAACAAACAAAAAATGTAACAAAAATTTAAACTAAACAAGCAATTCAGTATGCTTTCTTGGAAAAAAAAATAAAAGCACCCAATAAAACCACCCAAATAAAACAAGAAGGGAACAAGATTATATGCAAACATTTAAAAATTTTAGAAGTCATAGGTCACACAACCAGAGAAGGGAAGTCTAGAGATCTCTTAAGGAATCTATCCATACTGGTTCCAGTGTTCTCATGAGAACTCTCTGGCCTTGCTGTGCAGATGTCCACCCTCAGCTATGGGATCTTTTATCAGTCAACTCTGAGACTGCTTCATGGACTTACTCGGGAAAAGAAAAGCCACCAGTTATTCCAGAAGACAGGTAACGCACCCAAGGGCAAGTGGCAGGCAACAACACATCAGAGGAGCCTATGAGGCAGAGCTGAGTGACCACACGCCTGTGAAATGCAATATATCAACCAGCACCACAGAACGAGCTGAGTCCTGTGAAGGACTCGACTCTTTAGAGGGGAGGGGAGGCCTTTTAAAGGTAAAATCATTAGGTTTCTTAAATTATTTTTTTAATGATTTACAGAGTAAACTAACATGGGCATCATGGAGGAATTAACTTTTCTAAAAACAGAATGCTCTCATAAGCGCAAGCCTTGCAGCTACATGGAAAAACACTCTTGTGCCCAAGTAAATAAATAATAAAAGGATATGGAAACAATACACCTTGAAAACTGTCCCTTCTCTGTTCCCCTGGGCAGAGGCAGCACTGACAGGTTCCTGCTGCACGACTTACAGGCCCCGTGAGCATTTATTTATCTAGTAACACTTGAGTACCATTCAAAGAATTAGGGAAGCCACTCCAAAGGACTGAAGGGTTTATGAGTCCATTCTTTCTGTCCTAAGCTCTAGACCCCTAAGGCAAGACTCCTAAATACAGCCTTGATTGAGACTGTATTTGGAGGTGCTCACAGCACACAATTGTCCTCCTTCCCCTTCATGGAAGTGGCCTGGGAACACACACACACACACAGAAACTGAAAACAATACATGGTGCATATAAACTTTTGTTCTTACCGCACCTAGTGTCTGCTTTTAAAGATAGTTTTATGGCATCTGTGTTTCCCAGTGACAGCCCTCATCCTGCTCACACGTGTGTGTTTCTTAAGCACATGCAACATTACCACCAGGAGAGACTTGCATAATCAAAAGGCAGAGGACAAAATATGAGTGCCTATTAGTGGGAAATAGCATGCAAACAAAAAAGTAACCCGAGAGCCAGAGTCATCCTTCAGCAGAGCTTTAGCACTAGCTGGGCTTCTGTGAGGGAGGGAGGTACTAAGGTGTGCCCTGAGGGACAGCTAACCATCTCATGGTCTAGAGAAAGAGAAACTGCTGACCAGTTACCATTTCTGCAGGCCATCAGGGAACAGCCCACACCTCCTAAGCCAGCTGTACGTGGCAGTACACACTGCTGCCTGCACAAAGACAGAAAACTGAAAGCTCCAGGCAGTCTACAGCAGGGGCTACTCTCAGGTTCTTTGCTTCTGTGCAGATCACCTGTTTTGACTGATTAGGACCTAGCCTTCCAACTACACGAGTTATCTGAAGCTGGTCAGGCCTTGGTGTGGTGCAGAGCAGCCTCTAAAGGAAGTTGACACAAGGGGACTGTGCTCCTTTTTCCTGGGTGACTGACATGCTTTCACAGGTTCAAGACTGGCATTACGTCTGTCCCATTCACTCAGCCATAGTGGCAGAACAGCGGCCACAGTTTTCTCAGTCCTCATGGTTCATGCCATCTTATGGCTTTGCAAACTCCAGTGATGAGGATTGCTTCCACCTATATGAATCCAACCTCCCACATAGAGCAAAAAGACTGATCAAGGATCAGAAAACCCAATTTTCTTGGTTTTGTTTTTTTGTTTTTTGTTTTGGTTTGGTTTTTTGTTTTGGGTTTTTTTGTTTTGTTTTGTTGTTGTTTTTTGTTTGTTTGTTTTTTTGAGACAGGATTTCTCTGTGTAGCCCTGGTTATCCCGGAACTTACTTTGTAGACCGGGTTGGGAACTCAGAGATCCTCCTGACAGCACTGGATTAAAGGTGTGTGCCCCCACTGCCTGGCAGGAAGTCCAATTCTTAAACCATAATCTTTACAGGTTTTGGTGAGAGTATAAATGGGATGGACAGCTCTCCTAGGGTTAGCAGGGGTGTACCTACAATTATATGTGCACAGACCCTGAGCCTGCATCTCTATGTCATCCCTTTAAAGAAGACAGGCATCAGTGCACTGTTGGCAAAGGGCCAAAGGGCCGAAGACTAGAAGAAGTAAGCGTCTAGTAATAAAGAGACAAGTATGTCAGAGTACAGCTGCTCAAGGTAACACATCCAGAAACAAACAGGCAGCCAGCCATGAGCTAACATGAAACTCTTATCAAGGTATATTATTAGGCAAAAGGAAAGAAAAAGCAGAATACACAGTATATGCTATCATTTACATAAAATTATTCTCAGGCTATACAGTTTTATTTGTACAGTCTCTTGAGATGGTCTCAGGCATACCAGGCTGACCTTGCTATGCAAAGGGCATGACCTTGAGTTGTGGACCCTCTTGCTTCTGCCTCCCACACATTAAGATTTTAGGCAAGTGTCATCACATCCAGCATATTTTGATACTGAAATCTTCCTATTTTGGGCTGAGTATAGTGGTACATGCCTTTAATCCCATCACTAGGGAGGGAGGCAGGCAGAAGCAGGCAGAGGCAGACAGATCTCTGTGAGTTCAAGGCCAGCTTGGTCTACAATGAGAGTTCCAGGACAGCCAGGGCTGTTGCACAGAGAAACCTTGTCCCAACAAACAAACACACAAACAAAACAAGAAAAGAAGGCTGGACCAGTGGTTGCACAAGCCTTCAATCCCAGGATTCTACAAAGTGAGTTCCAGGACAGCTAAGGCTACAGAGACAAACCCTATCTTAAACAAAGTAAAACAAACAAACAAACAAATAAACAACAACAAAAAGCCAAAACAAGAAAGAAAAAGAAGAAAGAAAGAAAAAGAAAAATGAAAAACAAATCTTGCTATGTTGACATAGCTGGTTTTGAACTCATGGACTCAAGTAATCTTCTGGCCTCAGACTCCTGAGTGCTGGACTTCAGGCCTGTGTCACTGCACCCAGAAAGACTATATACATATTGACTTGTACTTTCATAGGCTATCTCTGGAAACCTCACCTAGTAAGTTATGATAACAAAGCTTCAAGAGAGAGATAATGAGAAGATGAGGGAACACAGAGGAGGCAAACAGATCCAAAGAAAACTTAATTTCACTCTGTAGTCTTGTTTTGGATTTTTTTCTTATGTGAACATTAAAAAACAAACTGTAGGCAGACATGTTGCCTTGGCTAGCACTTAGCATGCTGAAGAAGTTTAAAGGCAGCCAGGGCTGCTACACAGTTGAAGGTTAACCTAGGCAACTTACAGAGACTAAGAACAAAAGCAGGAAAGAAGAGAGAGGAAAGAAGGGAGGGAGGAAAAGAAGGAGGAAAGAAAGGGAAGGAAGGAGGGAGGGAGGAAAGGAAGGAGAGAGGGAGAGAGGGAAGGAAGTTGTCTCCAAAACTAAAAGCAACAAGGGACCCAGAGACCCAGTACTATTGACACAACATGCCCAAGCGACCCCATGGGTTCTTTCTTCTGGCTTCTGAGACTAGGTTTAGACAAGTCATACTTTGGTTTGGCCAAACCAAGAACACTGTGTCCTCTGACAACAATGTCAAATTCTTACTTGTATGTAGTAAATAAGAAATATTTTACCTTTCAGCAAAGGTATCAAGTTTCCCCAACTCATCGGAGAGACCAACAAGGGAGTCCAAAGTCCCCACCTAGAAAAACCATAAAGGAGTTTAGCTCATATGCTTTCTAAGCTTGTATGCCTTCTGCCTAACGAGTGTTAGGTGTTCTTGTAACAACTGCACAAGAAACTCACTTCACGTTGAGTCAGTTGTTTTTAGCCAACAACCAGACTAAAAAGTGGAAAAACACTTTGGGGAAACATATAGACTGAGAACTACATATTTTTATTATCATCTGCATGTAGTATGGACATGTCAGCATGTGTGTATGCATGTATGTCCAGATACTTATGTGGAGGTCAGAGGTCAACATACTTTCTTTCTGTCTTTTTTTTTTTTTTTTTTTTTTTTTTTGTACAGAGTCTCCTACTGAAATATGGAGCTCACCAGGTCAGCTAGATCAGCTGACCGTGGATCTCTGTCTCTGTCTGCCCCACACTAGGATTAAAGGTGCAAGTCAGTGAACCTGGTACAGATGCTAGGGATCCAAACTTGGTTTCTTGCAGTACATAGAGCACTTCACTACATAAACCTATGGGACAGAATGACAACAGAATAAGCTGACATATCTCTCTCATAAGAAGGACTATCATGTTGGTGGCCTGACCTCAGTCCAGTCTATAGAGGTCTTTTTTGGATTATTCAAGGTCTGTTTCTTAGTATAGAACTGAATGAAGTGTCCAGAGATCCTTTGAAGGGTCTTTTCAGAGAGATGGGAAGGAAAGACCTGCTTCCTCGGAGCAATGTGACACATAGGCCACACCCAGCTTTCTACCTGGGTGCTGAGGCTTGGACTCAGATACTCAACTGACTGCAGCCCAAGCTTCCTCCCCCCCTCCTCCCCAATCCTCTTTCTGAGATAGGGTCTCACAATTTAGCCCTGGAACTCCTTTTGTAGAGGAGGCTGGCCTAGAATTTATATCAACCCTCTAGTCTACCTCTAGAGTGCAGGGTTCGTGGATGTGAGCCACCAGGCCTAGCCTGGCCTAATCTTTTTGAAAAAGATTGTTCCTGGGGATGGAGAGATGGTTCTGTAGTTAAGAACACAGGCTGCTCTTCCAGAGGACCAGTATCCACATGGGAGCTCACAACTGTTTGTAACTCTAGTTCCAAGGTCTCCGATGCTCATAGGCACCAAGCACATACACAGTACACAAACATACACACATACATGCAAACAAAAAATGGATACAAACAAAATAATAAAGTAATTTTTTAAAAAGATGGTTCCTATTTCCTCATCTTTAACATTTATTTCATCTTATCTTCCCTGTCTACAAGAGCCCTCTCAGATCTTGAAACTCCCACTGTATCTGTCCCCCACAACAGAATTGGAAAGACCCCAGACTTCCTGGACTACCTCTAGGTCAAGAAAAGCATCAAAGTTCCTAAAGTGCACATTCAGCAGAGCTGTGGGTCTGTTTGGATTCAGCAGACTCTGAGGACCACTCGGAAGGATCAGAGTGCATGCACAGTGCCCTTCCACGTCCCACCTACACTCTGTCCATGTGGCCTGCCCTATTTATGCTTATCTATGGCTTCGGGTCCAGAAGGGCCACTGTTAACTTGTGGCTGTGGCATAGAGTCTCACTGACACCTCTGTCCATCTTCTAGCTCAGGCTTATCTATTGTCCCTGTTGTACATTTGCCATTAAGTCCTTATCCCTGGCTTCTGAGAAGCCACCTTCTGCTCAGAAACCCCTGCCCTCCTCCAATCTATAACTTCCTCCCTCCTCTTGGGAGGTCTTACCTTGAAGTCTGGGATGGCAAACTTGGTGTTGTGGGACAGGTTAGACTTTGAAGTTACGTTGTTCATCCTCTCCAGAGCTTGTAAATTTTCCTTATCACCAGGGGCCGAAATAAGCCAAAACTCGGACATGTTTGTAAATCTTCTGGTTATCTAGTTACCGACAGGCAGCAAGACTAATGCACACAAAGAAACAGAAACAGGAGCAGAGATGTGTCTGGTGTCTGCTTCACCTCTCCTTACCTCAGAATTAATCCTCTCTGGGCCCTGTCACTCTGTCCATTTGTCACACCTAGCTGCCTTGACCTTCTAGTTCCCTTTCAGCAGCTTTAAGGACACCCATTTGCCACCAAGCAATATGTCTGTACCCCTGCCCCAGGGAAGCTCCATGTCATAGGGAAACCTCTCCCCTACCCTCCCTAGATGGCTCTGATTGGCCCACACTGGTTTCTTGCACTCCCCAGCTCCAGTGTATACCAGCTTGAAGATGGGTAGACAGTAAGCTAAGCATGGAAGACTTCTGGGAGGATATTTTTTCGTCTTGATTTGTTGTATTTTATGGAACCCGGGAAGGGTGGATGAAGATGGGAGACAAGGGATTTTTCACAGTATAACATCAGCTCACGCTGGCCAATCTTAAGACCGGAGTTAACTTTAGAAACAAACTTCAAAGAAGCTTTTCAAAGGGCTACTAGAGTCTTCTGCTGAGGGAGATAGGTCTCAGTAGGATCAAGTAGCTGGCTGGGCCGGTAGAACCAGCAGTTTCAACGTTTCCATAGGGGTTTAGGGACTTCGATTTGTTCTACTCATTTAAATGTGTGCACACCCACACCTTCCCCCTAGTGGGTTCTCTGCACCTGTCACCTCCCTAGTGCATCCCATCCTGGGACATCTACAGAAAACTGGATAACTGAGGATAATGGGTATCCCCACTGAGTCCTTTTCTTCTCTCTTCCCATCTCACCATCTCTTACCTACTTGAGACCCTGCCGGTCCCTGCTAACCTTGCACAAACCAAAAGTTGTTCTTTCTGACCTGAGTGAATATCGCCTGGGGACAAACTGGCCAGTACGCAGGACTCTCCTCCTGGGGAGATGCCACCTGCCAAGCCAGGGAGAGTGTGGTGTGGGCCCCCATTTCCCATGTTCCCATTGAGAAAGTGCACACCCGGACCACGAGGGCCCACAGAAGTACGGGTTCGACCGAGGGAACGCTTGTCGCCCCTCGCTCGTTAAGGCCTCGACAGCTAGTTCCCCACCCCTGACTCTTGTAGCAGCTCGGCTTCGAGTCCTTACCAGGAGCAACGGGAGACTGTCTGAGCTGTAGATGACGCGCGCGGACACGGGGCAGGAGGCTCCGCGGGAGCGCACGGCCGGCTCCCGGGAGGCAGCGGCTTCTAAGGTCGGGTGCGCGCCCCGCCCCGCCTTTTATTCCAGCGGGAGGGGCATCCCTGGGCCCCTCTGATATTTGCATACGGGCTGCCCGCCTCCCTTGGTGTCCGTGTCCGTGTGGCGCTGCTGGGGACCCAAGACTCAAGCTCCAGAAAGACATTATGCAGGGAGGGTACACTAGTCGACGCAGGGGGTTCCAGGTCGCTTCTGCGTGTGGGTTTAGCCCGGAGTTGAGTGTAGCTGGGAGCCTGACCCGATCTCCATCCGCAGAACGGAAAAGCTGCGCGCTAGTAGAGCCACCTCGGTGAGGCAGCGACAAGACAGGGTTCCCAAAAGGAGGGTCCTCTAGCTGTACCCTTTGCCTCCCATTCCTACTCCACCGCGGCCCAGCCCTGTCTCCAGGGAATCACCTGCTCCAGGGTGTTTCCGAAGTCCATGCACGAGAGACCGGGTTGACCCACGGAAAGCAGCGCAACAGGTTCACAGATGTTTTCCAACACACAAACACACACACCTGCAGCAGGGAGGAGAGGCTCCTCTACAGTCTGCGTGGGCGCCAGCTTGCCCCTAGTTGCCCAGGAAACACCCATCTCTCCCCACCCACACAGAGGGGATTTAAAGCTGCTCAAGTCATGCTGAGGGACATAACTGAGGTGGACTGCGTGCCTAGCAGGTGCAAAGCCCTGAGTTCCAGCCCTAGGACAGAAAAAATAATATGGAAAAAAAGTTGCATAGGAGTTCAGTATGACTAATGAGCTCTTACTAGCCCAGCCCAACGTTCATTTTGGTTTCCAGCGAAATTAGACAGGCAGGCAGATAGGAGGTTGGATGAACAGGTAGGTAAGTAGGTAAGTAGGTAGGTAGATGGGCGGGTGGGTGGGTAGTCAGGCAGATAGATAGATGATAGGTGGGTAGCTAGGTAGGTAGTCAGTCAGATAGATGATAGGTAGGTGGATGGATGAATAGTCAGGCAGATAGATAGGTGATAGGTAGATAGGTAGAGAGACAGACAGACTGACTGACAAATAAATATAGATTCTACTAAGACCAGGTCTTAAGTACCTATTTTATCTGTAATCAGAAATAAAAGTCGCTGGGTGGTGCACACCTTTAATTCTAGCACTTGGGAGGCAGAGGCAGGTGGATTTCTGAGTTCGAGGCCAGCCTGATCTACAGAGTGAGTTCCAGGTAAGCCAGGGCTACACAGAGAAACCCTGTCTCAAAAAACCAAAAAGAAAAAAGAAAAGAAAAAAAGAAAGAAAGAAATCGAAGTTATGAGATGGCTCAGCAGATCAAAGTGCTTGATACCAAACCTGACAACCTGAGTTTGATCCCAGGACTCCACACAGTGGAAAGAGAGAACTGACTCCCAAAAGTTATCCCTTGATTTCTACAGAGGTGCCTTGGGGGACTGCACATAACACACACACACACACACACACACACACACACAAACTCATACAGGACAGACAGACAGATCGATAGATCTAAAAAAATTTGAAACTACTGATCTTTAATTCCAGCACTTGGAAGACAGAAGCAAAAGGATCTCTGAGTTCAAAGCCAGGTCTACAGAGTGAGTTCCAGGACAGCCAGGACTACACTGAGAAACCTTGTCTTAAAAAACTAAAGAGGAGAGAGAGAGAGAGAGAGAGAGAGAGAGAATGAATTTGAAACTAAAAGGGGTTGGAGATCCCAGGAATTAACTCATGAATGTTAAAACAAGACAAGAATCAGATATGGTGGCACACACCTTTAATTCCAGCACTGGGAGACTGAGGCAAGCAGACCTCTGTGAGTTTGAGGCCAAACTAAACTACATATCAAGTTGCAGACCAGCCAGGTATATACAGCAAGACCCTATCTGATTGATACATATATACATACATACATACATACATACATACACATACATGCATACATGCATTCAAAAACAAGGCAAAAATAAACACAGACACACAACCCTGAGAATTTCAATTTCTATCCCTAAAAGCAGGTCTTCTGGACGAGATGATGCTAAGGGGTTGCTGAAGAAGGCGCCCGTTGCTGCCTTGAGAAGGGATGTTTCTCTCTGCTCTATCACACTAGCTGTATGAACACATTCCTGTGGATCTTTTCCCATCCCTGGGGAAAGGACTTGATGTGAGTGAGACTTTCTGTGACACGTGGTGGGTTAGAAGCCCAGATCCGGGACACTAGTGGTTTAAGGTCAAGGTGATCCCACCGCCAGGCTTTGCAGCTCTGGAGCGCCCAGCACCTGCACTGCACATCACGGCGTTGAGACATCAGTGTGCATTAGTCAGTCCTTGCAACCTGTCCTGAGGGAGGACACCTGAAACTGAGGGATGAGGAAACACTGTGCACAAGGAGTCGGAGTGCCTATTCCAGAAAAGGAGTGGCTTGGTGAACAGTTGTTGGGGTGGTCGATTTTAAACTTCAAACCATTCCATTTTTTCCAGGCCAGGGAAACCAATCCAATAGACCTGGGACCAGATCACACTGACAAAGGGGAGGGAAGCTCAGGGAGTTAGATGAATTGTTCTGTTAATAGAGAACTGCGATAGACCTCAGGCTGATGGGCTGAGGAGTGTCTTCACACTTGCCAGCAAGCCTACAAGGACTGTGACATTGCTTGAACCCATGTAATCCCTTACAGTCAACGTTTTCTACCCTCTATTGCTGAAAGCTTCCTCAAGACTGTGGTGGAGTGTTAAGAGTGTCTTTGACTTTATGATACCATTCTTCCTATAAGTCTGACTTCCTTGAGTTTGCTGTGATTTAAGAGTCAAGACATGGCTGGGGTGTTGTGCAGTGCAGAACACTTTCATGGTATATCTGAGGCCCTGGTTTTAATTATCAGCACTTCAAAATAAATAAACCAGTAAGTAACTCAAACTGGTCATGGTACTGCACACCTTCATCTGGGATGCTGAAAAAGGATTTTGAGTTCCTGGTGAGTCTAGACTTCACAGTGAAGCCCTATCTTAGGTGTGCACACACACATATGCACACACACATGCACATGCACACACACGTACATGTATCAATATGATTTCAAAGTCAAATAACTCTGGGAAATCTGAAGGAGAAACCAATAAAGATCTACTGAGCTGTGTTTTCTTCCACATCTTTCTCCTGAAAACTAAACTTCTTCTAGCCTTTTATTGCCAATTTCTTTTTTTAAAGATTTATTTGTTTTTGTTGAATATGTATGGATGCTTTGCTTGCACGCATGTCTGCACCTCTTGCATGCAGCACCTTGGGTATTACAGATGTCTTCAAATACTAAAATAAAAATGTTAAAAAAAACAGAGAAAATATAAAGAAGCTAAAAATACTCTATAATTCTGTGATCTGAGAATCATCACTGTTAACATGTTAATTCTGTAAGTTTTAATACATGTTCATATATACAAATGCAGATGGTTTTGTATGACTAGGTTTGTATGCTATACTTAAACTTCAAATCCTGCCATTAATTGCCCTCCTCGTGTGTGTGTGTGTGTGTGTGTGTGTGTGTGTGTGTGTAGAAGTGATGTTCTCTCACTCATAGAGGCCAGAGATCAACTTCTGATGTCGTCTTCAGGTGCCATCCTTTGGGGTTTTGAGACAGATTCATCAGATTCTGCTAGGCTACCTGGCCAGGATCATTCCATTTCCGTCTGCCCAGTGCTGAGATTACAAAAGTGTGCCACCACAACAGGCTTCTTTATTTTTAAATGTATGTCCTGGGAATTAAGCCCAGGTCCTTAGGTTTTCAAGACAAGCCGTTCACAGACTGAGCTACTGCCTGAGCCTTGATGACTGCTTTTTAAAGCTTAAAAAGTATCATATGTATCGTATCAGTGAAGGATAATCAGTGCCATCAGCACTTACCACAGCTAGAGACTTGTATGGGGGGGGGCGGGATCTTTAACTTGTCAGAGAACTTACGATGGGAGGAGGTGGGTTTGAATCTTGCTCAAGAGGCTTTGACTTGTGGTTCTCAAGGGCAAACATGTCTGTATCCATTAGTTTCCCTATCACTTTAACAGAGAAATATGAAGCCAGCTGTGGGTCTTGCCTCCTCATTACATGAAGAGCTTGCTCTTCGAGTCCCAGGTCCCCAGCAGTCTTTTTGCTCTACAAGCAAAGTGCTTTTCCTCTATGCCTGCAACGGCCCCTTTCCTTTCCCGTTGCCCACACATCCCTAGAGTATCTGAAATCTATTACTAAAGCACCAAGAGTTCATGGTCACTGCTCTTACAACATGACCCAGGATGCAAACAGTGAAGAGCTCAGACAGGGCTTGTGAAAAACATGGCTTCTTACTTATTCCCAGGGCATTTCAATGTGTTAGCCAGAGTCACCCACTTTGATCCTCTCCAGCCTGCTATGAATTTGGCTTTGGTGGGATATTCCCGAAACATTGGCAAGGATCATGCACTGAGCCAGCTAAAGTCTGTGCAAGATCCAACAGTCCCTTCAGGTTTGGGAACCAGAAGGACAAGGCTGGCCTATTTAGTCTGTTGTTCTCTGGCCACTCCCAGATGACAGGCTTGGGGACTTCTTTATTTCCTCATACAGATCTGAGGATGAATTTTACAAACACACAGAGACAGAACAGCGTCTTGGTGGGCTTACGGACTTTTCTAGAAAATTTTTTCTTGTCCTCTCTTTGGTGTGGGAAATGGAGGGATGGACCCACAAGAGCAGGTCTGGTGAAAGAGCTTAGGCTTTGGAGTCATACAATTGGATAAACAGCTTACTCATGCTGTGGTTCAGATTTCCCACTCAAAAAAAGGAGTTTGGTTACACCAAACGTAAGAAAGAACTATAAGAAAGAGCTTATTTCTGACAAGAACACCTGAGGCTCAGTCCCCACACTGATCACTCTTCTACACCTTTATAAGCTCAGCAGTGTGTTATATGCTTTGTGTGACACACTGTGGTTACAATAAAAGAAGTACAGAACTCGGGTTTGGTCTGTGTTCTCTCTCAGCCAAAACTCTTCTTGGTTCTAGGAGCT